AGCCCCGAGGTGGTGGCCCGGTCGGTGGGCGTCTGCTCCATGATGCGCCTGCCGGTGCAGACCTCCCCCGAGGGGCTGGACGCTGCCTTCATCGGGGTGCCCCTGGATACTGGGACCTCTAACCGGCCTGGGGCGAGGTAAGGCCTAAAGGGCGGGGGCCGGGGACACGTGGAGGGACTGTTTGATGGCTGTCGGGCATGGAAAGCACCGGGACAGGCGCCCCTGCTGGCCTCGGGTCGAGTTGGAAGCTGGTGGCCGGTTCCAAAATACCCCTTATGGTTTGAAATGGTTGAGTTCCCTGGACCCTCAACAAGCGACCCCCAGGGCTCAACATGGGCGTGGCCTCCCACATCTTAGTGTCATAATTGGTCAAGAAGGGATTTTGGCTTGCCCGGTGGCTCATGCCTGTAATCCCAGCACTTTGGGAGGCCGAGGCGGGCGGATCACGAGGTCAGGAGTTTGAGACCATCCTGGCCAACATGGTGAAACCCTGCCTCTACAAAGGTACAAAAAAAAAAAAAAAAAAAAAAAAGCCGGGTGTGGTCGCGCAGGCCTGTAATCCCAGCTGCTCAGGAGGCTAAGGCAGGAGAATCGCTTGAACCGGGGAGGCGGAGGTTGCAGTGAGCTGAGATCGTGCCACTGCACTACAGCCTGGAGAACAGAGTGAGACTCCGTCTCAAAAAAGAAAAGAAAAAAAAAAAGAAAAAAAGAAAAAAAAAAGAAGGGATTCTGAAGCCTGAACTTTCTCTGTGTCCCTATCCTGGGGCCTTGCTGGGATGGCTGCTGTGGATTCCTCTCTTCTCCCCAGCTTACAGTGGCAGGTGACATTGCACTTGAGAGCAGAAACTGGCTGCCCCTTCCCCAAATCTCTAGATGTCACCTGACTCAAGAAATGCTCAAATGAAGGCAGTTTTCCTAGGATCAAGTCGGAGGAGGCAAAATTCATTTTCCTAATTATTGAACATCAGCAATTTCTGCTTCAGCTCAGCAACACTATATCTGACTGCCCTGATCTGAATTATGAAAGCCAGCACTTTAAATGTCTCCTAAGTGCAAGGTGCTTTGCATAGACTACCTCATTTAATTCTTACTACGGTGCAAGGTAAATATTTTACGGATTAGCAAACTGAGACTCAGGTAGATCATGAAATTGGCTAATGCCATTTAGTACACTTTAGTCTCTTCAATATATCGCCTAGATCCGTGATTCTCAAGTGGGGCGGTTTTGCACTCAGGGGACATTTGGCAATATCTGGAGGCATTTTTGGTTGTTACACCTTGGAGGAAGGGTGCTACTGGCACCTAGTGAGTACAGGCCAGGGATGCTGCTAAACATTCCATTATGCAGTACTGCAACATGGAATCATCTGGTCCCAAATTGCTGAGGCTGAGAAGCCCTGGCCTAAGCAGAGCCTGAAATCTCTGCAGAGGGCTGATAGGACGATTCTTCCTTCGGCAGATTCGGACCTCGCCGCATCCGGGAAGAATCAGTGATGCTTCGGACAGTCAATCCTAGCACGGGGGCCCTCCCCTTCCAGTCCCTCATGGTTGCAGACCTAGGCGATGTGAATGTCAATCTTTACAACCTTCAGGACAGCTGCCGGCGAATTCAAGAGGCCTATGAGAAAATTGTAGCAGCTGGCTGTATTCCTCTGACCTTGGGTAATGTCAGTCTGCAAGAGCCAGAGTAGTTCCCTGCACTCAGGGTTTATTTATCAGGGGCTTGAGTACAGCTACTTCTCCCCTGCAAGCCACTGCATATGTGGAGACAGTAGGAAAGACAGCATTGTAATTCATTTATTTTAATCCCTGGGGAGAGAATATTTCACTTGTGCGTGCGTGTGTGTGTGTGTGTGTGACAGTGTCACTCTGTTACCCAGGCTGGAGTGTAGTGGTGCAATCTCAGCACATTGCAACCTCCACTTCCCGGGTTCAAGTGATTCTCCTGCCTCAGCCTCCCACGTAGCTGGGATTACAGGCACCCACCACCATGCCTGGCTAATTTTTGTATTTTTGATAAAGTCGGGGTTTTGCCATGTTGGCCAGGCTGGTCTTGAACTCCTGACCTCAAGCCATCCGCCCACCTTGGCCTCCCAAAGTGCTGGGATTACAGGTGTGAGCCACCGCGCCCGGCCAAGATGATGTTTCTAATGACTATTTGCAAGGAGAACTGCAAAGAGGGTGTTTTTGTCCTGCTCAGGATCTACATCAACCTATAGGGCAGCTTTCCCCTTATTCTCACCCCGACCCACTCTCACTTTTTCTCTTGTTCACAAATGGCACAATCTCAGCTCACTGCAACCTCCGCCTCCCGGATTCAAGCAATTCTCCTGTCTCAGCCTCCTGAATAGCTGGGACTACAGGCACCCGCCACCATGGCCGGCTAATTTTTGTATTTTCAGTAGAGACGGGGTTTCATCATATTGGTCAGGCTGGTCTCGAATTCCTGACCTCAGGTGATCTACCCTCCTTGGCCTCCCAAAATGTTGGGATTACAGGCGTGAGCCACCACGCCCGACCTATGCATGGCATATCTTAAGCTTCAATAAATGTTAGCTATTATTATTATCAGAAAGAATACTTTCCTAGGTCTGTGCTGTCCAATAGGGTAGCCACTAGCCACATGTGGCTACTTAAATTCTATTTTTTTTTTTTGAGACGGAGTTTTGCTCTTGTTGCCCAGCTTGGCTCACTGCAACCTCCACCTCCCGGGTTCAAGCAATTCTCCTGCCTCAGCCTCCTGAATAGCTGGGATTACAGGTGCGTGCCACCATGCCCAGCTAATTTTTTGTATTTTTAGTAGAAACAGGGTTTCACCATGTTGGCAAGGCTGGTCTCGAACTCCTGACCTCAGGTGATCCGCCCGCCTCAGCCTCCCCAAATGCTGGGATTACAGGCATGAGCCACCGCGCCTGGCCTAAATTTAAATTAATTAAAATAAAATACTCAGTTTCTGAGTCATATTAGCTATATGTATGTCACATGTGTGTCACATGTGGAGAGTGGCTACCATATGGGCCAGTGCAGATAGAACATTCTCATCATGATAGACGTTTCTATTGAACAGAGCTATTTTAGGCATTTTCTTAGAATACGCTGCAAAGGCAATTCCTAAAGTAGCTCTTGTCTAATTTCCTCTTTTATTTATTTAGTTTTGAGTCAGGGTCTCACTCTGTCACCCAGACTGGAGTGCAGTGGCGCCGTCATGGCTTGCTGCAACCTTGTCCTCCCTGGGCTCAGGTGACCCTTCCACTCCAGCTTCCTGAGTAGCTGGGTCTACAGGAGTTTGCCACCATGCCCGGCTAATTTTTGTATTTTTTGCAGAGATGGGGTCTTAATGTGTTGCCCAGGTGGACCTTGAATTCCTGGGCTCAGGCAATCTGCTTGTCTTGGCCTCCCAAAGTGTTGGGATTACAGGTGTGAGCCACTGCGCCTGGCCTATTTCTACTTTTACTTTTTAGAGACATGGTCTTGCTATGTTGCCCAGGCTGGTCTCAAACTCCTAGGCTCAAGCTATTTATTTAGTTATTTATTTTTGAGATGGAGTTTCACCCTTGTTGCCTAGGCTGGAGTGCAATGGCATGATCTCGGCTCACCGCAACCTCTGCCTCCTGGGTTCAAGTGATTCTCCTGCCTCAGCCTCCGGAGTAGCTGGGATTACAGGCATGCACTACCACCCCCGGGGTTTCTTCATGTTGGTCAGGCTGGTCTTGAACTCCCAACATCAGGTGACCTGCCCGCCTTGGCCTCCCAAAGTGCTGGGATTACAGGCATAAACCACTGTGCCCGGCAAGCTACTCATATTTTTGAGATCGTGTCTTACTCTGTCGCCCAGGCTGGAGTGCAGTGGCACGATCACAGCTTACTGCAGCCTTGACCTCCCAGGTTCATTAAGCAGCCCACCATCCAATAAGATCTTATTGTAGCTGTGGTTATAGCTCCCCAGTCTGAAAAGGTGAAAATTGGGTTAAGATTATTCAGCTGGGCAAGGTGGCTCATGCCTGTAATCCCAGCACTTTGGGAGGCCGAGGCAAGTGGATCACTTGAGGTCAGGAGTTTGAGACCAGCCTAACCAACATGGTGAAATTAACTCTCTACTAAAAATACAAAATTAGCCAGGTATGGTGGTGCACACCTGTAATCCCAGCTACTCGGGAGGCTGAGGCAGGAGAATCGCTCGAACCTGTGAGGCAGAGGTTGCAGTGAGCCGAGATTGCGCCATTGAACTCCAGCCTGCGCAATAGTTAGAGCAAAACTACATCGCAAAAAAAAAAAAAAAAAAAAAGATTATTCTATGTAATCCTCCAATTCACTTTTCACACGTCTTTCTTCTTTCTCTTTGCAGGTGGAGATCACACAATCACGTATCCCATATTGCAAGCGATGGCAAAAAAGTAAGTCCCAAATGGCTTGGCCCAGCAAGGTTTCAAAAGCCAGAAGCCAGGGACTGAGTTGTTTGCTGTTAGGTGGCATTAGGTGACTGCTGCTGGCTCAGGTTATGAGCTGCTTCTGGGGATCAAAATTAAGGTTGAGCTCCAGGCGTCTCTGTCAGTCACCAGCTAGAAGCCAAGACAATTTATTATTAACACTTCTGGCCACCCTCCCTTGCCCTAGATCTGTCCTGGTATGTGTGCTCAGCATTTTCAACTTGCCTCTGCTTTTGGAAGATGAGCCTCTAGTGAAATACACAACCTCAGTTAACTTCAGTTTCTGTTTTGCTTCAAGGGCCAAAAACAAACACTGACAGGCACAATGGTGGAGCTTGCTGAGAGGCCCTTGTTTCCTCCTAAAAGGGCACCTTTCCCAGACAATCAAAAGACTGATTTGCCAGTAGTGGAAGTCTACCCGGGGTTGGCCGACTTTGGCTAATTTAGTTTGAGAAAGAGACAGAAGGACCGAGGTGGAGGGTGGCAGCTCCAGAATGTGTCTATGGAAGCACATGTGGGTGGCATTCTGGTTGGAGGTGGGTGGGTGCAGGTCTTTGCTCAAAGCTACATTTATTTCTCACGGATTTGGATCATACGTTTATTTTGGGTGACTGGCAGGGGTTGATGGAGGTTATGGAGAGAGCTGGATTGAAGCTTCCTCTTCCTCGGTCGGAGAAAGGGTATGTCTTGGTTTAGTTGAGCCTTCAGCCAAGCTCGCCTGTGCCACCACCCTTGATTCTCATCCTGTCTCTAAATTAAGCATATTCTGGGTGTTAGGTGTGGGTGGCAGCCAAAACATGTCTATTTCCTGCCTGACTGCTGTGAGTTTATTGTTCTTCTGAGATGTTAAGTGATCTCAAGAAGACAGGAACCAGTTGCAAGGCAGAAAATGGATGCCAGGTCTCCCCTTTGTGGCTGTGAATCGTCACCAAGTATTGGTGGCCTGAAGGGTGGCTGTGCTAGGGCCCCACAGGGAGGGTTGGCCTCTGAGCTGCCCTGTTGTCATCAGGCATGGCCCAGTGGGGCTTCTGCATGTGGACGCGCACACGGACACGGCCGACGAGGCCCTAGGAGAGAAGCTCTACCACGGGGCGCCCTTCCGCCGGTGTGTGGATGAGGGTCTCCTGGACTGTAAGCGGGTGGCGCAGATTGGCATCCGGGGCTATTCCACAACGTTGGATCCCTACAGATACAACCGGAGCCAGGTGACAGACCGAATGCCCCCCACCCCTGCCCCCCAAAATGCCTTCCTCTCCATTGCCTTACCCGTGGCAACCAGGGGTTCAGCAGGGGCTTTGCTAATCAAGTCTGAAAGCAGGGATAAAAGGCTGAGTTTGCATCCTCAGGGGCATACGGAGCACAGGAGTGAGGAGGTTGGTTTATGGGCCACGGGAAGTCTATCGCTGGGGTGGGGAGACAAGCAGAAATCGACCCACCCCTTTGGAGGGTGCTGGCTTAGAAGAGGGGAGGAGGCTGGGCGCGGTGGCTCACGCCTGTAATCCCAGCACTTTGGGAGGCTGAGGTGGGCGGATCACCTGAGGTCAGGAGTTCGAGACCAGCCTGGCCAACACGGTGAAACCCCGTCTCTATTGAAAATACAAAAATTAGCCGGGCCTGGTGGCACGCATCTGTAATCCCAGCTACTCGGGAGGCTGAGGCAGGAGAATTGCTTGAACCTGCGAGGCGGAGGTTGCAGTGAGCCGAGATCGTGCCACGGCACTCCAGCCAGGGCGACAGAGTGAGACTTCGTCTCAAAAAAAAAAAAAAAAAAAAAGAGGGGAGGAGGTCTGGACCCAAGAGGAGTTGCCACCTTCTTAGTTCTGGTCCTCATACCCTCTAGGCAGAACAGCTCTCAGGTACACATGTGTGACAAGACCCCATGGGAAAGACCCAAATCCCTTGCTTTTAGAATGTGCCAAGGCCAGTCTTCTGGACAGAGCAATTCAGAAGGTGCTAGCGTGAGCTGCTGTGTTTCCCACTCTTGCTTTAGCAGAGCTTCCCTCTGACCCCAAATCCATCAGTCAGCTTTGACCCTGCTTCCTTACCACTCATTGTCCCTCCCTTCCTCACCTGGAAAATAGGATGATAGTTCCCTCCTCACGGAGATGGAGGGTCAAGTGTGATGTGCACATAGAGCTGAGCAAGGGGCTGGCAAACAGGAAGCGCCCTGTAAATGCTGCCAGGCAGAAGCCTCAGTCCCTGTCTCCACAGGGCTTCCGAGTAGTTCTGGCTGAAGACTGCTGGATGAAGTCGCTGGTTCCTCTGATGGCAGAAGTCAGGCAGCAGATGGGAGGCAAACCCATTTATATCAGCTTTGATATTGACGCTCTGGATCCTGCCTATGCCCCAGGGACAGGGACACCTGAAATTGCTGGTCTCACTCCTGGTCAGGTAAGGAGACTCCAGTGAAGATTCCTGGGGGTGGAGATACTTAACACCCATTTTCCTGGGCCTTGAAGCGAATCTTTAGGAATCAGGATAGGATTTTTGTTTGTTTGAGATGGAGTCTCACTCTGTCGCCCAGGATAGAGTGCAGCTGCACGATCTCGGCTCACTGCAACCTCCGCCTCCCAGGTTCAAGTGATTCTTCTGCCTCAGCCTCCGGAGTAGCTGGGATTACAGGCACATGCCACTACGCCCGGCTAATTTTTGTATTTTTAGTAGAGATGGGGTTTCACTATGTTGGTCAGGCTGGTCTCAAACTCCTGATCTCGTGATCCACCCACCTCAGCCTCCCAGTGCTGGGATTACCAGTGTGAGCCACCGTGCACGGCTGCCAAGACAGGATCTTAAGAGCAGAGCACCTAGGCCTTTACTGTTCTCCAGGGTGAGGATAAGTTTGAATACTCTCTTACTGAAGGGTGATTGATTTTAGCAAGGGCCTTCGTTTCCTATCTGGGATGTAATAGTCCTTTATTTCATCCTTTATTTGCTCTTCCTGCCTTCAGTTCATCTGTCACAAGAACAACAGTTCATGGGAACAACATTAATAGTATCCTCTCTTAAGAACACTAAACTTGGCCAGGTGTCGTGGCTCATGCCTGGAATCCCAGCTCTTTGGGAGGCCGAGGTGGGTGGATCACAAGGTCAGGAGTTTGAGACCAGCATGGCCAAGATGGTGAAACCCTGTCTCTATTAAAAGTGCAAAAATTAGGCCGGGCGCGGTGGCTCAAGCCTGTAATCCCAGCACTTTGGGAGGCCGAGATGGGCGGATCACGAGGTCAGAAGATCAAGACCATCCTGGCTAACACAGTGAAACCCTGTCTCTACTAAAAAATACAAAAAACTAGCCGCCGGGCGAGGTGGCGGGTGCCTGTAGTCCCAGCTACTTGGGAGGCTGAGGCAGGAGAATGGCGTAAACCCAGGAGGCAGAGCTTGCAGTGAGCTGAGATCCGGCCACTGCACTCCAGCCTGGGCGACAGAGCGAGACTCTGTCTCAAAAAAAAAAAAAAAAAAAAAAAAAAGAAAAGTGCAAAAATTAGCTGGGCGCAGTGGCAGGCGCCTGTAATCCCAGCTACTTGGGAGGCTGAGGCAGGAGAATTACTTGAACCCTGGAGGCGGAGGTTGCAGTGAGCTGAGATCGTGCCACTGCACTCCAGCCTGGGCAACAGAGCAAGACTCCACCTCAAAAAAATCCAAACAAACAAAAACACTAAACTTGGCCGGGGCAGTGGCTCACACCTGTAATCCCAGCACTTTGGGAGGCCGAGGCACGAGGCGGGTGCATCACCTGAGGTCAGGAGTTTGAGACAAGTCTAACATGGAGAAACCCCATCTCTACTAAAAATACGAAATTAACCGGGTGTGGTGGTGCATGCCTGTAATTCCAGCTACTTGGGAGGATGGGGCAGGAGAATCACCTGAACCTGGGAGGCTGAGGTTGTGGTGAGCCGAGATTGTGCCATTGCACTCCAGTCTGGGCAACAGGAGCGAAACTCCGTCTCAAAACAAACAAAAACACTAAACTTATCTTTTTAGGGTTAAATTTAAATAAAAGTGCATACAATGGGCCAGGTGCAGTGGCTCAGGGAGTAACCTCAGCACTTTGGGAGGCCAGGGTGGATGGATCGTTTGAGCCCAGGAGTTTGAGCCCAGTCTGGGCAACATAGTGAGATCCCACCTTTACTAAAAATAAAAATAAAAATTAGTCTGGTGTGCTAGTGTGCACCTGTAGTCCCAGCTACTAGGGAGGGTCGGGTAGGAGGATCAGTTGACTTTGGCAGGTCAAGCCTTCAGTGAGCCATGGTCACACCACTGCACTACAGCCTGGGTGACAGAGACCCTGTCTCAAAAATAAATAAATAAATAAATAAATAAATAAAATGCATGCGATGGCATACCTACCTACCAAAGTAGCTCAAGAATTTTAGACACACCCAAATAAAGCTCCAATAATGTGTGCAGGGAGTAAATGCACGGAGGCAGAATGGTTATGACTAGAAGCTCCCCGAGGGCAGGACCTACGTATTGTTCCCTACCTTGTCCTTGGAGTCTACAACAGTGCCTGATACATACAAATAGTAGGCACTCAAAGACATTTGAGAGTAAATGAAGGAAGACTGCTTAAACCTAATCAAGTACCTTACATCCTCTAACATCTTAAAGGAGGGTGGCCGTAACTCTGTCTCTTGAAATGGCTATAACCATCCTCTCTTCTCATGAGGGATTTCTGAAACACATTCCTCATCCCTCTGCTTAGCAACCTTCTGGGCTTTTCACCTGCAGGATGGAAACCCTTTCAGACAAGGTCACTCTCTTCCCATTAGTCTCCCTCACTTATTCTGTCTTCTGGCCACATCTCACCACCTGAACTTTTTCCATCTTGGTGCCTTTGCCTGTGTTTTTCCCCCTGCCTGGCCTATCCCTTGAACTGGGTATTTCCACCTTGGGGAAGCCTTACCCACCTCTCCAGGCTGTTACCTGTGCTGATACCATTCTGGGCTTGCTTTTCTTGAAGCCCTTGGTGCACGACATTCAAACGATTGGTTTCCTTGTCTCCATCACCACACCATGCAGCCCTCAGGAGCAGGGACTGTGTACGCATTATCTGTGCCTCTGGGAGGCCTGCCAGTGTGCCTGGCAGTCAAGAAATGTTTATGGAGGGAAAGCCAATTCCAAGCCAAAGGGTGGCGTGTGCTGGGAAAAGCTCTGCTGGGTGCTTTTCACTGTAAATGATTACCACTGTGGACAACTCAGTCTTGATCTTGAATAGGCTCTGGAGATCATCCGGGGTTGTCAAGGCCTGAACGTGGTGGGCTGTGATCTCGTCGAAGTTTCACCACCGTATGATCTTTCTGGTGAGTAAGCAAGAAGACTGTGATCCATGGGCAGCTGGCAGCTTAAATTACATGAAGCTAGTTAATAAGCAGAAAATGGGGCTGGGCATGGTGGCTCATGCCTGTAATCCCAGCACTTTGGGAGGCTGAGGTGGGCAGATCACCTCAGGTCAGGAGTTCAAGACCAGCCTTGCCAACATGGCGAAACCCCGTCACTACTGAAGATACAAAAATTAGCCAGGTGTGGTGGCACACACCTGTAATCCCAGGTACTCGGGAGGCTGAGGCAGGAGAATCGCTTGAACCTGGGAGGCGGAGGTTGCAGTGAGCTGAGATTGCGCCACTACACTCCAGCCTGGGTGACAGAGCGAGACTCCATCTCAAAAAAAAAAAAAAGAGAAAAAGAAAGAAAGAAAATGGATGAGTCCCTTATATGACTCGGGGAAGTGGCTGAGCATGTCCAATGGTGAAGAAAACACACCTATTACTGCACACCTTACAAATGTGAGCTCATTAACCCTAACAAAACCCCTAGGAGGTAGCTAAGTATTATTAGCTTGCCCACCAATCAGCAGAAGAGAAAGAAACCAGCCTGCAGTCTAGTGACAGAGTGGCCCAGTCCCCTTCTCCTTTGACGTTTCATTGCAAAGTGAATTCTAAAGCATAAATAATGTATGTTAATATTTATCACGTAGGAACTTAGCTGGTTAAGATCTTGGAAGCAGATGCCATCCCAATAATTTTAATGTTGACAAGCTTATGGAGTTAGGCCTATCGACCTCAGAGGGTAGATAATATATACAGTACACATCATTGTTATAGGTTCTCCTTTGGGAAAAATCTGTTCTCAGGGTAAACAAAGAACTTTGTGAATTTTAAAATATGATTTCCAAATGATGCTTGGTGGAGGCAGAGGGCCCGGGCCGAGTGTTCACAGCTGGTGGGCGCCCTAGAGGGGTGTACAAGACAGGGCTCTGGAAAAGGAGGCACAAGGGAAGAAAGCTGAGGAGTCCCAAGGCTTGGCTCAGGGGGTGGTCTGCAGGGTATTCATGTCAGGTTTTACTTCTTTGTAGGGAACACAGCCCTGCTGGCGGCTAACCTGCTGTTTGAGATGCTGTGTGCTCTCCCCAAAGTGACAACCGTCTGAGTCTTGTGCTCTTCAAGACAAAACAGATTGCATCGCTGACAAGTTCTCAAGAAGAACTTATGAGTAAGCAGTCTGAGAACTAAAGAGTTGATGCCAAGAAAACTTTCTGCTGAAAGTGTCATTGCTGGCTGTGAAATCGGGGTATTCAGTAGAACTCTCACCCAAACAGCAATATTTCTAAGGAACTTGGATTAATTGGAAAAAAGCAAAAGAGTACTTGTACTGTTTTTTTTCCCTTTGATGAAAGATGGAGGATAAAGGGGAAATGTGGAGAATTTCTTTTATCTAAACATTAGAAACATGAAATTAAAAAAAAACTATGAAATAATACTGTATAAGCATTCCATATTTCTATATCTTATTTATTTATTTTGAGAGAGTTTTGCTCTTGTCACCCAGGCTGGAGTGCAATGGCATGATCTCGGTTCATTGCAACCTCCACCTCCCGAGTTCAAGCGATTCTCCTGCCTCAGCCTCCTGAGGAGCTGGGATTACAGGCGCCCACCACCATACCTGGCTAATTTTTGTATTTTTAGTAGAGATGGAGTTTCACTACATTGGCCAGGCTGGTCTCGAACTCCTGACCTAAGGTGATCCACCCGCCTCAGCCTCCTAAAGTGCTGGGATTACAGGCGTGGGCCACTGCGCCCAGCTGCTTTTAAAAATTTTGATGATCTGCTTCTTAAGAGTATTGAGTATCTTCCTTTAAAATATAGCTCCTCCTCGGACGCTGTAGTGAGCTGAGATCACACCACTACACTCCAGCCTGGGTGACAGGGCAAGACTCCATCTCAAAAAAAAAAAAAAAGAAAAACAGCTCCTCCTATCCTCCTATGAGGTGCTTAGGGCTGCATCTTGGTTTTAGGACCACTATGAATGTTAACTAAAAAGTATAAAATAACACGGAGAGCCCAGTGAAGAAACTTCTTGCTCAGAAGCCTAGAAGGGTACACACAATGTTTTCTAAACTAGAAAACCTAAGGCCGGACATGGTGGCTCATGCCTGTAATCCCAGCACTTTGCAGGGCTGAGGCGGGCAGATCACTTGAGGTCAGGAGTGTGAGACCAGCCTGGCCAACATGGTGAAAACCCATCTCTACTGAAAATACAAAAATTAGCCG